AAAAGGAACCAGAAGAGGAAGAGGAAGAGAAAGAAGAAGAAGAGGAGGAGGAGGAGGAGGAGGGGAGGAGAAGGAGGAGGAGGAAGAAGGAGGAGGAAGGAGGAGGAAGAAGGAGGGAGGAGGAGGGCAAGGAGGAAGGAGGAGGAAGAAGGAGGAGGGGAAGGGGAAGGGGAAGGGAAAGAGGAGGAACAGGAGGAGGAGGAACAGGAGGAGGAGGAAGAAGAAAAGGAGGAGGAGGAAGGAGGAGGAAGAAGGAGGAGGAAGGGGGAAGAGGAGGAACAGGAGGAGGAGGAAGAAGAGGAGGAGGAAGAGGAAGAGGAGGAAGAAGAGGAGGAGGAAGAGGAAGAGGAGGGGAGGAGAATGAGGAGGAACAGGAGGAGGAGGAGGAAGAGGAAGAAGAAGAGGAAGAAGAGGAAGAGGAAGGGGAAGAAGAAGGGGAAGCGGAAGGGGAAGGAGAAGGAGAAGGAGAAGGAGAAGACGACTTCACGTCTCTACCTTGCATTTGCCAGGCAGGTGCTTATGCCACTGAGCTATCTCCCTAGTTCAAACACAGCTTTTTAAATAAAAGCTCATCAAGCCCCTCAGCATCAGGTCTGCCTGGCTGGAAGCCGTCAGGCACTGCAGTCCCACACGGAACCAGGGCAAGCTTACCGAGGGTGTCGCATGCACTGAGAGATGCCCCTCCGTTTCCCCGTGAGGGGCGGTGGTGGGACCTTGCCAGCCACCTGTCCCCCTCATAGCCCAGGGTGAGATCGATCCCCCAGTCCCCCTCAGGTGACATTATGCAGGTGTGCTGGGTTACACCTGTAGTCCCAGCATTCAGGAGGCCGAGGCAGGAAGAGCACAGCAACTACTGGGCCAGCCTGGGCTACAAAGTGTGTTCCAGGCCAGCCTGAGATTCATAGCAAGAGCCTGACTCAATAATCAATAATCAATAAGAAAAAATAAATTCATGTTCCCATTTCTGAGTTGCCAAGCACAGCGTCAGACTCTGGCATACCAAGCTGTCCACGAGGGCACCTTCGGTCAGCGCTGTGTGCGGCTTTGTCGTGGCTGCAGAGGCGGCAGGCAAGCCCTATCAAGTAAGCTTGACAGTAAGTCAAGCTTTCCTCCCTTTGCTGTTTAAAGTGTTTTTATTTTCTAGTGGGACCTGTGCACCGTTTCTAAGGACTGCATTCCTTATGGGGAGCTGGTCTCAATGAGCAAGGCATCTTCCTCTTCTCCCATCCCCTTTCCTCCCCTTCCCTAATCCTCCATCTTTCAATCCACTTCCCGTGTGAGAAAGATCAATCTCCCTGCTTCCTGTCATCTACCTTTTATTTATCTTTTGGGCTTCTCACATAAGAGAAAACATATGATAGTTAAGTTTGCATGCCTAATTTATTTCATTTAACAGTATTGTCTCAAAGTGCATCCATTTTGCTGTATGCTATTCGAGTTCACCCTTCTTTAGGGCAGCATGGTACTCCACCATGTGCACATACCTCATTTCCTTCATTCATTCAGCTGTGGACAGACTCGGAGGCCACTTCCAACATTCAGCTATTATGGATTGTGCTGCAACAGCCATGCACACTGCAATACAGTGTCTTTAATTTTGCTTTCAATCCCACCTCTCTTCCATTACTTTTCTCCTTTCGTTATACTGTCATGCTTTAATGGTGTGGATTGGAGGGGGACAGCATGCAGACAATCTGAACAATACACAACAAGAAAGGGAAGCGGGGTGCGGGTCCCTATGTGGCAGCCCCTCACGGCCCATCCCAGTCTCTTTCTTA